ATGAAAAGCAGCCCTGGAAAAAAATTCCATACCAGCCCCGTAATGCATCGTGCCAGCATAGTGCGCAGATATGGAAGTGGGAAAAAAAATTAAAACTAGCACTCAAACATGAAATAAAGCACTTATAGGGCTTCAAAATAAAGCAGAGCAGATTTATTGTAAGCAGACGCAGACGTGCATTTGTGTGTGTGTGTAGAGAGAGTGCCGTTTGTGTGTGGAGGGGTTCTGTGTGTGTGTGTGGAGGGGTTCTGTGAGCGTGGAGGGGTTCTGTGAGGGTGGAGGGGGTCTGTGAGGGTGGAGGGGTTCTTTGTGCGTGGAGGGGTTCTGTGTGCATGAAGGGGTTCTGTGTGCGTGTGGAGGGGTTCCCTGTGAGCCGCGGAGGGTTCTGTGTGTGTGGAGGGGTTCTGTTGGTGGGGGAGCTGTTGGTGGGGGGAGGGGTGCTGTTGGTGGAGGGGGTGCTGTTGGTGGGGGGGAGGCGCTGTTTGTGGGGGAGAGGGGTGCTGTTGGTGGGGGGAGGGGTGCCAAGTTGATGGGGGAGGGGTGCTGCTGGTGGGGGGGAGGGTGCTGCTGATGGGGGGAGCTGTTGGTGGGGAGGGAGCCACTGATGGGGTGCTGCTGGTGGGGGGGAGGGGTGCTTGCTCAGGGGAGAGGGGTGCTGCTGGTGGGGGAGGGGCGCTATGATGGGGGGGAGGGGTGCTGTTGGTGGGGGAGGGGTGCTGTTGATGGGGGGAGCTAAGCTGGTGGGGGGAGGGAGCTGTTGATGGGGGTGCTGTTGGTGGGGGGAGGGGTGCTGTTTGTGGGGGGGAGAGGGGTGCTGTTGGTGGGGGGAGGGGTGCTGTTGATGGGGGTGCTGTTGGTGGGGGAGGGGTGCTGTTTGTGGGGGGAGAGGGGAGCTGGGAGGGGTGCTGTTGATGGGGGGGAGCTGTTGGTGGGGGGAGGGGTGCTGTTGGTGGGGGGGGGTGCAGTGTGTGTATGGGCATCGCTATATATTTTAAAAAACGTCATTTTACCCCCCTCCCACCTTACCTTTGGTCAGGGGAGAGGGGGGATGGCTACTCTTCGATCCCTGGTGGTCCAGTGGTGGCGCGTGCTGTTCAGCCTGCAGCTCCTCTGGCTGCAGGCTGACTTTGCTCTCCTCCCGCGAGAACAGCAAGCAGGTCAGAGCGTTGCCATGGTAACGCACAGCAACGCTCCAACCTGCCTGCTCGCGGGAGGAGCGTTCTCTCTTGCAGTTTCCTGTCAGACCGGGTAGGGGAACAGAAGCTCCCCTACCGCGGTCTGCCTGCTCGGCCACGCTACATTCTATGACCGGCAGGAGGGGAGCGTATCCCCTCCTGCCGGTCACTCTGTAATTGCAGCCCGGGCTGGTGCACACTAGACGGCCGCGCACCGGCCCCCTAGTGTGCCGGCCCACCGGGAAATTTCCCGGTGTCCCGGTGGGCCAGTCCGGCCCTGGTAGTGCTGGGGGGTAGGGGTTACTGCTGGGGGGGTAGGGTACTTCTGGGGGGGGGGTAAGGGTGCTGTGTGTCAGTATACCCCCCCCCTCCTTCTTACCTTTAATGAAGTGGGAGGGGACACAGCTATCCCTGGTGGTCCGGTGGTGGTAAGCACTGCAGGGGGAGGGATCTGTGATGCAGCTCCCCTGTCCTCCCGCGCAATGCTATGTGGAGCGTTGCCATGGTAACGCGCGGCAACGCTCCACACAGCATCGCGCGGGAGGACAGGGGAGCTGCATCACAGAGCCCTCCCCCTGCCTCCCGACCCGGAAGCAGAGTAGGCGCCTGCCGTTTCGGGCAGGCAGGCACCTACTCTGCAGTGATGGCGAACCTGTGGCCGCGTGCCCACAGAAAGGGCCCGGCGTGCCACCTGTGGCACGCGTGCCATAGGTTCGCCATCACTGGTATATACCCTGTTCGCCTATTCATCCCGAACTACTGAGCCTGAGTGATTATAGCTGCAGTTCGGGTGTAGATACGAATAGTTCCAGACGAATGCAGCTTCAAAGTAGTTTCTCCCCAGCAAGTAGACAGTTACCCAAAATGATCCTAGACTTCATGAAGGGTACAATAGGAATTAATCTTTATTGAAGCCACACTGACTTTTATGCAAGGGGACCTCCCACATGGACCTTGTGGGGGACAGGAACACAAAGGTTACAGCCAATAATATTACAGTGACAAAGATGAACACTCCCAATGCAAACAGACAATTCCCTCCTCTCTGCCTGTGAGATAATTGAGTCAGCTAAAGGATAACCCAATTATCTCTAGGCAGTAAAAAACATATTTTCCCCAAAACTTGGAAAGTACCCTAAAACACATAATATCCCCATAAGTCATATCCCCTGATAGCCCTGATCTAGGTTACCAACATATCCAAAAATCACCCAGTTCAGGGGTTTTCGAATTTTATAAAAGTTCCATTTGACCGTCCGCACACGAGGATCCTGCCCAGAAACAGTTCCATGAGCTTAGGTTGTGTGGTCGGTCTATTTCGAAAAGTCATAAAAACAAATAAATGCAAGAACAGATTCCCCTGGCTCATAGGAGTGATTGTTCCTCTGGTTCGCGG